TAGCCTGGAATGACCAGAACATTAAATTTACAGAGACACCACTTCCCCCTAAATGTCCATGTTAATGGCTATTTTAGAAAATTCCAGCATAACTCAAGGCCAGTTTAATTTATTCCTGAACACAAATAATTTTATGGAAGGCAACACTGTAATTCAAATAAATAAATGATTTGGTTTGGGCCATAAAAGTATAAACAGAGCACTTACAAAAAATTGCTTACTGTTGTTTCTTGTTATAAACCATTAGATTTTTAGCCAAAAGACTTACACGCACAACTGTTTGCCTTCCTTAATACTCAGCGTAGACTCTTACACAAGGAATTAAGCCTTAGTCACCAAATTAACTAAAAGACGACCAAAAAAAGTTTGTAAGTCACCAACCATTTCACATTCAGAAGTGAATTTGACCCCAGACAATACAAGGTCTTTCTCTTGTTATAAAAGTGGGATCAGGGCTCTGTGGATTCTCAGCTGCAAGTTCTGCCATTAGACCTCTTCAATGTCCCCTCCAGCCCAACCCAACTCAGGGCAAGCCATTTTCTCCAGGATCAGGAATTGGAGCCAAAAAGCCTAAGTCCTGATCACAGGTAATAATTATAAACCAGAAAAGTGAACCAGGGTGAAAAGCTTGTGAAAAGGGCAATCAGGCAGCAAACACAGAGGTGCAGAAAATTTCAACTTTTCTTTTCTCTAATGGAATTTAACTTCTTATCTGCCAACCTGATTGCACCGGATCAAGGCAGAAATTTGACCTTGGTCAGTTCAGGTGTTACCCCACCCTGCTGTCTCCAGAATTGTCCTTGAGCTTCAAAGGACCAGCACAGCACTGAGGAGAGGATGCGGAGTGCTCGTGCTAACATCTCATCGTCTGTACCCCTGGATTCCACTCTTGCATCCCCATTCTCACTGATTGGTCGTTGGTTCATGTGGATCCTGCCTGAGCTCTGGATCCTCAGTGTCCTAACTCCCGAGCTTTCTAGGCCAGCTGGTTCTTACTGTCACACTCTCTGCCTTGCCAGCCTCCCACAGAATATTCTCTTGCCCCCTGCTTCACACTGACAGTCAAAGAAATGCAGAGTGGGGCCACCCCAAGTCCCTGAACTCAGACATCCCGGGGAGCCACTACTGATCTGCAGCAACACACCCCGTCCTAAGATGAGTCCCAGATCTCTCGTTGTTGGACATTCCAACATACCCCCATCCCACTCCAGAACAGAAGAAAGAGAGCCCCCGTTGAGGGCCTCACAATAGCAACTAGTTGAATGTTCTGTTCAACTTGCCTACACCAGGCAATTTTTCTGTCTTCTGTAGAGAAACAAACCAGGCTTAGCATACAGTTTTCCCAATACATTGTTTAGGCTTTAATCTCAGCTTTCAAGCCCCAAAGAAAAAGCGTTAACTTGGGTTTCTCTCTATATTCCATGCATCAATTCTACCTAAGAATGCTCTTGTCTCAAAAATTCAGAGAAGGTTAGGGGTAACTGAATATAGTAACTATTTCAAAACAATACCCCTCAAAAGAACTGAAATCCAAACAGTTCAAGAAAAGTAAGAAAATAAAACACACCAAAAAACCATGCCAAATCTGAGAGTGTCTCCTAGAGACAGGAAATATAGACCATATAGAGAATAAAACCTTTTAAAATGGTAAATAAATGAGTGTAGTTTGGGACTTAAGGGGAGAAGGAGGAACACATAATTTGGAGCCAATAATTATGGCCAGAGGAGATAGGAAGTTGTCCTCTCTGGTGACCAGGTGTTAAAAGAAGACCTAGATTCAAAAAAAAAGATAGGATTGTTCAACACAGAAGATGCAATGATTGGTTCAAATTTTGAATGAAGTAAGAGAAGGTGGAGAATGAGGAATTGATTTTTGAAGTTTCAGTTATGCACATGAGTAAGTTCTAGAACTGTGCTGTGCAACGCAGTCAATAATACAGTATTGTGTGCTTTAAACTATGTTAAATATTTTCACCAAGACAAGAACAAAAATAACACACAGACACAAAAGAACAAAAGGAAATTTGGAGAGGCAATGAACATGCTTTCGGCACCTTGTTTGGGGTGATGTTATCGTCGGTGTATGTATATGCCCAAACTCCTTACACATGAAGTATATCGATACCTCAATAAAACCAAAAATTCTTAAATTAAAAAAATTTAAAACCATAAACAAAAATAAATCCAATATGGATGAAAGAGCTAGGTGTGAGACCGGAAGCTGTCAAAATCCCAGAGGAGAGAACAGACAGTAACCTCTTTGCCATTGGCTGCAGCAACTTCTTACTAGGCATGTTTCCTGAGTCATGGGAAACAAAAGCAAAAATAAACTACTGGCACCTCCTCAAGATAAAGAGCTTATGCACAGTGAAGGAAACAATCAACAAAACTAAAAGGCAACCTTTGGAATGGGAGAAGATATTTGCAAATGGCATATCCGCTAAAGGGTTACTATCCAAAAAATATAAAGAACTTAAAAATTCAACACCCATAAAACAGAAAATCCACTTAAGAGAAAGGAAGAAGACATGAATAGATGTTTTTTCCAAAAAAGACATCCAGATGGCCAACAGACACATGAAAAGATGTTGAATGTTACTTATCATCAGGGAAATACAGATCAAATACACAATGAGATGGGGTGCCTGGGTGGTTCAGCTGGTTAAGCCTCTGATTCTTGATTTCAGCTCAGGTCATGATCTCACAGTTCATGGAATTGAGCTCCACATTGGGCTCTGCACTGACAGTGCAAAGCCTGCTCAGGATTCTCTCTCTTGCTCTCTCTCTCTCTTTCTCTCTCTCTCTCTCTCTCTCTCTATCCCTCCCTCCCTCCCTCTACCCATCTCTCCTGCTTGTGCGCTCTCTCTCTCCCTCAAAATAAATAAATACTTTAAAATATGCAATGAGGTATCACCTCACACCTGTCAGAATGGCTAAAATTAACAACGCAGGAAACAACAGGTATTGGCGAGGATGTAGAGAAAGGAGAATCTTCTTACATTATTCGTGGGAATGCAAATTGGTGCAGCCACTCTGGAAAACAGTATGGAGGCTCCTCAAAAAGTTAAACATAGAACTACCCTCTGATCCAGCAATTGCACTACTTGGTATTTGCCCAGAGGATACAAAATACTGATTCAAAGGGATACATGCACCTGTAATGTTTATAGCAGCATTATTAACAATAGCCAAACTATGGAGAGAGCCCAAATGTCCATCGACTGATGAATGGATAAAGAAGATGTGAGATATATAGATATATAAGGGATTATTACTCAGCCATCAAAAAGAATGAACTCTTGCCATTTGCAGTGACATGGATTGAGCTAGAGAATACTATGCTAAGCAAAATAAGTCAGTCAGAGAAAGATAAATACCATATGATTTCACTCATATGTGGCATTTAAGAAACAAAATAGGTGAACATAGTGGGGAAGAAAAAAGAGAAGCAAACCAAGAAACATATTCTTAACTGGAGTCTTAAACAGATTCTTAACTAATTGGGAAGGTGGGTGGGGGATGGGAGTTAAATGGGTGATGGGTCTTAAGGAGGGCATTTGTGATGAGCACCAGGTGTTGTATATAAGTGATGAATCATTATATCCTATACCTGAAACTAATATTACACTCCATGTTAATTAACTAGAATTTAAATCATAAAAACTGGAAAAAAATTAAAAACACAAATTTCAGGGTGCTGTCTATCCCAAACACAACATTTATTTAAATAAATTAGTATTATACTTCTGATTCCTACAACTACTGGTGACTAATAGCCTTTTGTCCATCCAGGAAATGGAAATACAAACTAATAGAACTCATCAATTTGCTTTGAAAAACATTATTCCACTAATGCATCAGATTTACAAACTGAAGTATTTTACCTCATAAAAGGGCACAATTCTTGAAAATGTCGCAGGACCCATGGAATCAAGAAATGCCCACACTGAAATATATATCTAATCCAGTGCTTTTTAGCCAAATGTATACTGTGGACCAGGAAGCCATCTGGATCTTTACTGAAGAGCTCAGAAACAGAGCGGAGGAACATGGGATTCTCATTCTGAGCATTCCAGGCAAGCAGAGAAGGCAGTGGGAAGGGATGAATTAGTCACCAAAAGGTGGGATCATTTCCCATCAGAAGCCAAAATCAAATGTCAGCCAACTAGACAACTAAATGGAAAACTAAGTGGATACGTAATTGATTTCTGTGAGGAGAATATTCTCAAAGGGAAAAATGGAGGTATTAGAGTGCATAGAATTTAAACTTCTAACTGAATATTGTAGGGTATAAGAGTATTCTCAATTTGTAATTGTATATTTATGTATTTGGTCATTTGATTGATGTCTGTGCTCCCAACTAGGCTGTAAGTTACACAAAGACAGGGATGGCACCACTGTGTTCCCACATCTGGCATAATCACTGGCATGTATTCGACTCTTACTGAACTTGTTGAGTGAATAAATGAGTTTGATATTGTGCTGATGTTAGGGGCTTGGGCAGAGGCTTAACACCCATAAGTATAAAGGAGACAAGCCTATGTCGGTCTGAAGCAGGGAGCTGAAGTGAGATTTCTGCACAAAGCAAGAACACTCCAGAGGTTGCCTCACTTGTGACATAAGATCTAGAACATTCTGACCATCAAGCCCAGGAAGCGTAACATAAATCCTGGATTCTAGGTGAACCCCATTCACCTACAGATAGTAACTCAACTTAAAATGGAGACAGTCCTGGAGAGCACAGGACTCACATTTTCTAGTTCATTGAGGGCCTGAAGTGGAATGGAATGAGGAAGGCTGGAAAGAGGATAAAGGGAGGGACAGAGAGATCCACGGACACGCTGGCTCTGTCACCCCTTTGTAAGGGCTGGCCCAGAAAGGAACATTAACACAGCACTCCACAGAGGACCTGTAAACATCACACAGTCGTGTCTTGCTGCACCCTCTCTGGTCTGTCCATCTGGCTTGACTGACCTAATGAGATGCCTTGTGTTTTTCAGAATGCGGAAGCGAGCTATGACTTCAGCGGCAATGACCCCTATCCCTACCCTCGATACACAGATGACTGGTTCAACAGGTATACTGGGCCTCAGGGGCCGCCTTTGACTTTAGATCTGGGGGTTTTGTTTGACTCTGTTTTTTAAAGCTTGACTATCACCAGCAAAATAATCTCAGTGCTTCCCTAAATTATACTATGATTTTTCTCCTTCATAGCTACATTCTCTAAATTCTTGGATTTTGTTAATGCGGCAATGTTCCTCTAGAATTGTCTTGGGACTATTTTGTTCAGTTGAGTTGGGAGTTATTTGCCTCTTTATTAAAGATAAAAGAGGGATACCTGGGTGGGTCAGTCAGTTAATTGTCTGACTTCAGCTCAGGTCATGATCTCACAGTTTATGGGTTTGAGACCCACATCGGGCTCTGTGCTAACAGCTCAGAGCCTGAAGCCTGCTTCAGATTCTATGTCCCCCCCTCTCTCTGCCCCTCACCCACTTGCACTCGATATCTCTCTTTCTGAAAAAATAAACATTTTAAAAAGATAATAGAAATAATCAGAAATCCTTTTCAACTTGCCACAAGATGATAAAAAAAAAAAAAGTGCTATTTCCACTTGATGTGTTGAAGAGAACTGTTTGGCCTCTCTGCTCTGTTTCTACATGATTTTGAAAAGTGCTTCTGCTGTAACCTTATAAGGGTTCACGTAGTTCTTTGCAACTGAGCAGTAAGCATAATCCTCAAAGGTTTGAAGTATTTTTTTTAGTTGAAGTAAAATTGACATAAGATATTATATTAATTTCAGGTATACAACATAGCAATTTGATATTTGCGTGTATTACAAGATGATCACTGCATTAAGTCTAGTCAGCATCTGACACCACACATAGTACCAAAAAAATAGTTTTTCTTCTGTTGAGGTTTTTTAAGATCTATTCTCTTAGACATTTTCAAATATGCAATGTGGTAACATCAACTGACAGGTTTGAAGTATTGCTTGGCATCCTACCATGTTGAACTACCCAATGGTCCATCCAAAAGTATGACTTTTCTTCCACTGGTTTTGGAAGAAAATATACAGTCTCTTTTTTCTCCAAGTAAAATTCTTGCCTTTATGGTTGATTGCATGTAAGAAATACTGAGAAATAAATATGTGTGACTTGCTTGTTCAAAATCAACTAGACTTTAAACCTAGTGCTTCCTTATTATTGATGTTCTTGGATAAAGTTCATAAGAACCGTATGAACTTCAATTAATGGTATAATGATATGTGTACATCACTTAACTCATTTCTTTTACTTCCCATGGCAAACTCATGTAGGTAAAATAAATGTTGCCACTCTCTGTTCAGTGATAAAGAAACAGGCTCAGAGAGGTTGTGTGTCTCTTCCCTGGTCAAACTAGGATGTGTCAAAGTCAACACTTGAACCCAAGCTTCAGACAGGTTTTTAAATCAAAATTGTACCACTCTTTCATAAAAATCATTTTTATGATAAAAGACAGAAAGCATCATGGCCAGATAGTGGCCAGAGATGGGTCCCCAGTGGACCAGGTGACTTATTCTCTGTCCCTACAATTAGCAAGTTGACCAGAATGTGACTGGGGGACAGAAAGGGCACATAGGTTGGGGAGTTGGCAATTACAAAAAATACAGAAAAGAATAAAGAAGAAAAAGCGTTAAATTTGCAACATTTTAATTAATTAATTTATTTATTTTAATATTTTTATTTATTTCTAGGAGAGAGAGAGAGAGAGAGCGTGAGCAGGGGAGGGTCAGAGAGAGAGGGAGACACAGACTCTGAAATAGGCTCCAGGCTCTGAGCTGGCAGTCAGCACAGAGCCCGACGCGGGGCTCGAACCCATGAACCGTGAGATCATGACCTAAGTGAAAGTCGGACGCTTAACCGACTAAGCCACCCAGGCGCCCCAATTTGCAACATTTTTAAAAAGATCATTACCGATGTTCAACAGCACAATTTACTCTTCAGCACCTTCTTCAGCAGCTTGAAAATTATCATGCAGCATTTGAAAGGTTGTGCTCAGGAGATGATGATGTATCACGAAGGTCTGAGAACTTCTGACATGAAGTTCTCATACCCTCCACAACTTACAACCCAAGATCCACACTTACCCTTGGCAAATAAACCATTTTCAGACACAAAGATGTGAAGTTCCCAAACAGATGTCACTAAGCCGGGGGCAGGACATAATTGGTAATGGTGGTTTGGACCACTGTACTGAGAAGGACAAAGAGGGAGTGCCTGGTTTCAACATGACTGAGTACCAATTGTCCACATGGTAGCAGGGTGGGAGCAATACATGTGTCACTTGCCTTCTCTCTAGTAGATACTAAATTAATCTTTGACAGACTGATGCAGGCACAAAAATATAACCAACACAGTGGCCCACCCCTCTCTGCCACATCCCATTTTCTGAACCCAACACAGCCTCCCTAAGCAAATCTGCCTGTGTGATATGCTGTAAGACTATTCTTTAAATAAACAAAGAAGAAAAAAAAATAAAATTGGCTTCTATTTGAAATGTTTTCATTTGCAAACTTGTTCTTGAAACTTCAATTTGAAACTGGCTAAAATCCTCTAACCAGGACTAATTAGGGCTTATTGCAATACAATTCTTCATCGTCAGCGGTAAAAATTCCCCAGTGTCCAATTGCCTGAGACACAGTATAATGAGTCAGGCGTGTAGGATCCTTGCCTGGTAGGAAGCCACTAACTCAAGACACAGGAGCCACATTGACCTATAAACAGGGCTTTTCCCAATTATCAAGTTATGTTCAAAGGTCCTCATCCACCATGGTTTGTTTTTATGAAGACTGGATGGTCATTCAAATCATGACCCCTCCAAACCTAATTACTATTGTAAATGCTTATGGAAGGAAACTGGGTCAAAATACAAGCCCCCAGGACTAGGGAGACCTGTGGTCTGAAAGGTTGGGTCTGTCCTGGAGATGATTCCTTCTTGGCACAAGGAGAAATTGAATATAGCATCCTTCCCATAAGTGTAGGATAAGTTTATTGAAAATTCCCTCTGGATGGAATATTGCCTGGTATTCTCTTGAGGTTTGGGGTAGGAGGAAGGAGAATGAGTGGAGGAATACAGAAAATAATGGTCATGGGTCAATAATTGCTAAGGCCTATCATAGGTACATGAGATTTCAGTGTACTTTTGTAGATCTCTGATTTGTTTTCCATAATAAGTAAATTTTAAAAAGCATGGGGCACAATTTAGTTTGGTATTTATGAAACTATTAGCTTTGGTGTGCGAGCTTCTAAGGAGCTTGCAAAGTGTCCTCTGAGTGGAGACAGATGCCCAGATCACCACAGTGCTAAGCATAGCTAGGGCTAAAATAACTGTTTATTAAGTGGCTACTATGTTTAAAGCACTGTTTTTAAGTGCTTTGCATGTATTAATCCAGTTCTCATAATAACCCTTTGAAATAGCTACTATCAGGGTGCCTGAGTAGCTCAAGGGGTTGAGTATCCAACTTCAGCTCAGGTCATGATCTTGCAGTTTGTGAGTTTGAGCTGTGTGTTGAGCTCTGTGCTGACAGCTCAGAGCTTGGAGCCTGCTTCCAATTCTGTGTCTCCCCCCACCCCAGCCCTCCTCTGCTCATACTCTGTCTCTCTGTCTCTAAAACATAAACATTAAAAGAAATCGTAAAAAAGAAAACAAATAGCTATTATCAGGATTATCCCCATTTTGAAAATGGCGGCATAGAAAGGCTAAGTAACTTGGGCAAGGTCATATAGCTGTAAGTGGTAGAGACAGGATTTGACACCAGTGAGGGGGTCATTACCCACACTGCCTCATAACAAAGATGGCTTGGACAGTATGATGCAATGCAAAATTATCTCTAGCAGAAGTGGGGACAGGCTTCCTTCCCTGAATGGATGGCATTTACTCTAGTATGCGAAGGAAGGTAACTGGTAGAGTTAAGGGGTATATTCCAGAGTGAGGGTACAATTTAGGTGAAGGAGGGGAGGCAGGAGGTGCAGACATATTCAGGAGGTAACCTGGACACCTGGTCTGGGAGTTAGAGACTGGGATGAGGGCAGCATTCTAAGAAGGTTTCATGGAAGAGGTGTGCATGAAAAAATCGCATAGGTTATTAGGAGAAAGGAGGAGAGATTTTGTGATTGGGTCGGAAACTGGGATAGATGAGGACCCTTCTCTCATTACACTCAGGGAATGTTGCTTCCCAGAGGCTCCGGGACTCTCGAGCCCAGCACCTGCCTTTGGCTGGAGCTGTGTTTACTGCTGCTCCAGCATGAGCCCCTGGCCAGTTCAGCAGCCACCAAGGCATGCCCGTTTCCTCAGGTGTTCTCCTCTGGGTGTAAGGCCCAAATCCATCACCCATCTCTGCAACAGACTGGGGGTTCCTAAGAAATGTTAGTTTCAGCATGCACTGAAACTCCACTAAAGGGCTCACAGATGCTGCCCAGCCATGTTCTTGCTGCTGTTACTCTTCCAGCCACACTGGCTGGTGCAAAGGTGGGTTAGAACTCAGAAGCAATTGCCTTGCAGGAAAACGTGGCAGCTCACATTGCTTCACATTGCAATGGGAAATAGAAAAGAAAATGCACGACCCAGGGCACTCTCAAGCAAGCGAGTAAAGGGTTCCTCTGGCTGGGAAACCGAGTTCAATAGCAGAGTGTCTCCCCTCACGCTTTAAACTACCCTATCATCCCCTCTGTACTTATTTATTAACTTGTTTTCCTTCAAGTGCACATTTCTTCAACAACAAAATTAAAACTGCCAGCCAAGGACTGTTTATGAAAGCAAACTTCATGCGTATACAGAACTGCTTGTAGGGGGTAGGTATATTAGAATTTCTTGCCCAGTGTTAAATTTGATTTTGTAGGATTATTCCTTTTTAAGCAGAGCCAGTGTATTTATTCTACTGTGAACCATTTAATAATTACATGAAGTATCTGAGCTCCAGAGATATATTTGAAACACTGTTGAGAAATTTGCAAAGGGAGTAAATTTCCTCCTAGTTTGCAAGCAGAGAGATACAGATGGCCAAGCAAAATAATAATATAGTAGTAGTAGTAGTAGTAG